AAAAATATAATTTGCAGGCACCTACTCTTGAGTTGAAACAGCTCATAGATAACCTTAATTACGCGTACTTAGAGTATGATGAGATGAAGTCTATTATTATTTTCACCTTCCTTGATGATTTTCAAGAGAAGTTGTTGAGTGTGCTAAGGAAGCACAAGAAGGCCACTGATTGGACCTTGGCTGACATACCTGGTATCAACCCATCCACTTGCATGCATAGAATTCTTTTGAAGGATGGAGAAAAACCAATTAGGCAGCCACAAAGGAGGAAAAACCTTGTGGTTATGGATGTCATCAAGAAGGAGGTCACCAAGCTTATACAAGCTGGGATCATCTACCCAATATCAAATAGTCAATGGGTGAGCCCGTTCCATGTTGTTCCCAAGAAGACTGGCCTCACTATGGCCAAGAATGAGAATGATGAGCTGAATCCCACAAGAATGCATAACAACTGGAGAGTCTGCATTGATTATAGGAGGCTCAATCAAGCAACTAGGAAAGATCATTTTCCCTGTCCTTCATTGATAAGATGCTGGAGCGCCTAACACGTAAATCTCATTACTATTTTCTTGATGGGTTTTCTAGGTACTTCCAAATTAACATTGCTTTTGAGTATCAGAAAAAGACCACATTCACCTGCCCCTTTGTCACTTTTACCTATAGGAGGATGCCTTTTGGCCTATGCAACGCCCCTAGTACCTTCCAACGGTGCATGCTTAGCATTTTTAGCGACTTTCTTGAAAGTTGCATAGAGGTGTTTATGGATGATTCCACTGTATATGGATCCTCATTTGATGCATGCTTAGACAGTTTGGAAAAAGTTTTGAAAAGATGCATTGAAACTAACCTTGTTCTCAATTTTGAGAAATATCATTTTATGGTTGAACAAGGTTTAGTTTTAGGGCATATTATTTCTAGCAAGGGAATAGAGGTGGATCTTGCAAAAATATCTTTGATTTCACAATTGTCTTACCCCTCTTGCGTGCAAGAGGTGCGATCTTTCATTGGACATGCAGGCTTTTACAAGCGCTTTATCAAGGATTTCAGCAAGAAGGTGCTTCCCTTGTCCAAACTATTGCAGAAGGATGTTGAATTTTAGTTTGATGAGAGATGCAAAAAGGCTTTTGACTATCTTAAGGAAGCTTTTACCTCAACTCTAATCATTCAAGCACCATATTGGATAGTCCCATTTGAGCTTATGTGTGATGCATTCAATTATGCATTGGGGGTTGTCTTGACGCAAAAGATTGGCAGGTTACCGCGAGTGATTTACTATGCTTCCACAACTCTAGATGTTGCCCAAGCAAATTATACCACCACCGAGAAAGAGTTGTTAGCAATTGTTTTTGCTCTTGATAAATTTAGCTCTTATTTGCGTGGTTCACCTGTTATTGTATTCACTAACCATGCAGCTCTGAAGTTTCTTTTAAAGAAGGCTAAGTCAAAGCCAAGGCTGATAATGTGCATGCTCCTACTTCAAGAATTTGATATGCAAATCCAAGACAGGAGTGGAGAACAAAACTTAGTTATTGACCACCTTTGTAGGATTGAAGAGTTGAGAATGAAGCTGATGTTTTGCCCATCCAGGATGACTTTGCTTATGAGGATTTATTGCTTATTTCAGTTTCTTACGCTACTCCTTGGTTTGCAAATATGGTTAATTATTTGGTTGCTTCTGTTTTTTCTCCCACAGCATCTCATGCTCAAATTGATAAAATTAAGAGCGATGCTAAGTACTATATTGGGGATGAACCATATTTATGGAAGTTGTACAGTGACCAGGTTACCAGGAGATGCATTCCAGACCATGAGATTGACTTGGTCCTACAGTTTTGTCATGCTTCTTCACCTGGCGGTCATTTGGAAAATCAAAGAATGGATCCCAGGGTGCTAGATTGTGGTTTTTATTGGCCCTCCATCTTCAAGGATGTGGAGAGGATTTGTAGTACCTACGAGCGATGTCAAAGAGCAAGAGGATCACTTTCATGGAAACAACAAATGCCTCAACATCCCATGCTGTTCTGTGAGGTATTTGATGTTTGGGATATAGATTTCATGGGTCCCTTTTCTGTCTCTTTTGGTTTTTCATATATCCTTCTAGTTGTTGATTATATTTCGAAATGGGTAGAAGCTAGAGCCACCAGGACTAACGATGCTCGGGTTGTCGTGGATTTTGTTAGATCTCACCTCTTTTGCAAGTTTGGAGTACCTAGAGCCATTAGTAGTGACCAAGGAACTCATTTTTGCAACAGAGCAATGCAAGCTTTGGTCAAGAAATATGGGGTGGTGCACAGAGTTTCTACACCATATCACTCTAAACCAGCAAGCAAGTTGAGATATCAAACAAGGAGATCAAGAGGATTTTGGAGAAGATTGTCTAGCCCAATAGGAAATATTGGAGCAATAAGTTGGACGATGCTCTTTAGGCACACAGCATTGCCTAGAAAGCACCTATAGGGATGCCTCCCTATCGGGTTGTCATCTACCAATTGAGATTGAGCATCGAACATATTGGGTTGTGAAGTCTTGCAACTTCTCTATTGATCAAGCTGGAGAGGAAAGGAAGTTGCAGTTGAATGAATTAGATGAGATCCGATTGGAGGCCTATCAGAAATCGAAGTTCTACAAGGAAAGGACAAAGAAGTTCCATGATAGTTCAATTATTAGAAAGGACTTCAAGGTTGGCCAGCAGGTTTTATTGTATAACTCTAGGCTCGAACTCATGGGGGTAAGTTAAGATCAAAGTGGATTGGACCTTTTGTTGTGACTATCATTTATCCTTATGGTGCAGTCGAGATCCAAAGTCCATCCACAACTAAAAGCTTTAAGGTTAATGGGCATAGACTAAAGCCTTTCCTCAGCAATCCTTCTTTGTTGGATGTAGTGGTGGATGAAAGGCCTTTGCTTGACCCTGCCTCACTTTCTTCCTAACTCAGGGAGTTTTCTTTGTTTTGAATCTCATTAATTAGTCTTAAGTGAAAAATTATGATTACCTTAACCTTAGGAAATTTTGGAGTTTTTGAATTGTTTTGGAAACAAGTGTGGTCTTCCTGGGGATTCTATTAATTGGCTAGTTGGTTCCTATTCTTGGTTATGTTGAAAATATATTGTGTATCTTGTCTCTTACACTTAGTTATGTTCTAGAAAGAAAAGAAAAGAGACAAGACAAGAAAAGTAAGAAAAAAATAGAAAATAAATTAGAAAAAAATAAAAAAAAAATTGAATAATGGAGTCAATAAGAGGATTGAATTAGAGATTTTGGGTGTGATTTGATTGTATTTTTAATTGTTCCTTATTGCTCCTCTATTATTTTTGGTTTGTAGCTTCTCATCTATACTTTATCCTCCCTTGTCCTTGGCCCCATTACAACCATGAAAAGACCTTTGAATTTGAACATGCATATGTTTTGGGTGTTCATTTTAGAGACTTGCCAAGTCTGTTTGTTGCTTGCTTTCTTGAGTGTATTGAGTTGACATTGTTTACCTTAGACACTTGAGAGAAAAAGTAAGAGTGCATATGTGAGGTTTTGTTACTTTTGATTCACCTCTTGAGCTGATTGATTATTTTGTCATGTCTAGAATTGTTTGGATGATTACCATGAGTATATGATTTCTCTTATTCTTTGTATGTTGGATACTGTCTACTCCTTTTCTTTGTCTAGATTCCTTGAGGACTGTGTAAATCTCTTTGTTTTCTTGTGAGTCTTTTTTGTTTTTGTGTGTTGAGATTATGTCCCTCCCTTGATATCCTTTGAACTGTTCCTTGATCTTCATCTTGATTTTATCCGGGAGTACAAAAGACTAAGTGTGGTTTATTTTGATGAGTCAATATTTTATCGACTTCACTTAGCTTATTGTACTAGATTTAATTAGGGAATTGTGCTTGAATGTCTATTATTCCCCCAATTTTGCTAATTGTGCTTAATTTGACTAGAAATTCTTATTTTAATTAATTTGAATTATTTGAGCCTAATTACTTTCATTATTAATTGCAGGGAAATTTTTGGAATATTATTTTGGGACATCAAGAGGGAGGCCATGTCATTTCCCACATCATTTTCGTTCATCCACATCAGCATTGTAGTTTAAATTAAAATGTAATTTCAATTTTAGGCTTTTTTTGGGCAGATTTAGGTTTTGGGCCATTTTGGCCATTTAGGATTAGGCGCATTTGACAATTCTGACCTAGTTTTGTGTGCAAAGGGGGCCAAACTCTAATAGCTCCCTCATTCCAGATTATTACGTTTTCTTCTTCTTAGAGAGCTCCAATGGAGGTTTTGCGGTTTTCCTCTTCTTTGTATTGAATTCGTATTTTAAATTCTCAATGCAATTCCATTTCTCTTTTGCTTCCATTGGCCATTTTCGTTTTCTATTTGAAGCTTGAAGTTCGTTTTCCCCATTTCGATTTCTCATTTGAAATGTGTTATCTAATTCATTTGTTATGGTTAATCTGCATTTTTCCAGCATTGTTTAAATTCCAATTTCGTTTTCTGTTTGCGTATTATTTCTAGGGTTTCGTTTTCTGCATTGGGTCTTTGTTCTTGAATTGAATTTTTGTGTTCTGCATAAATTAGGTTTCCATTTCACGTCTAGTTCTATTTTGTAGCGTTTAATAATGGATTTCATTGCGTTTTGGTGTTTTAATTCGTTCACAATGATAGGTTAAAATCTGTTTGGGTTGGTATTAATTAGGTTGCAATGGTTCCATGAGGATTCTGAGTTGTTGATGTAACTACCTTGCTTTGCACCATGTCGAATTAGTTTTGCACTTACAATTAGAACACGCTTAGTGGTCTAATTGGGTTTAGTTCTCGCTTAGTTAATTAATCCATAAGGTGCATAACCAATTAATCATGTGCGATTCGTTTGCTTAATTCAAATTTAAGACAACCCAATTAATCTTCACTTAGTTGGTTGATTTGTGTTGGAATAAGGTAATAGCAATGTTTAATTTATTGCTAATCAATTATTGGAAGCAATGTAATTGAGCTAAGCACCAACCTATCTTTGAATTGTGTGAATTTCGTGTTTTGGTTTGTTAATCTCTAGTTCAAAACTATCCAATTCCCCCCACCTTCTCCAGTACATGTTTGATCTAATTCCTGACCCACATTTGGTCCTTGAGAGACGACCTAGGGTTCATTTTCCTAACTTATACTGCATTTAATTGCTCATTAACACTAGTGCAGAATTGGCTTTTAACGTCACCCCGTAGACGTCAGACCACAAAATAACCAACGTAAATTATTGACCGGTGACATTTTCATAAATAAGTTGGGCATCTAGACGTCGGTTAGGAGGGGCCTTGACGTCTATAATATTATAGACGTTGGGGCCCCCTTACCCGATGTCTATATGCCTAACAGGTAGGTGAAAAGTCATTTTTTTCTGCCGTATAGACGTCTAATCCACCAGTCCAACGTCTATATACGATTATAGACGTCGGTCCCCCTGTAACAGACGTCTATATTGTTGACAGGGTAGGTGAAAAGTCATTTTTTTCGCCGTTTAGACGTCTGATCCCGCCACATCCGACGTTTGTATACACTGTAAATATTAATTTTTAAATTGAATGGATGTCATATTAGTGAGGTCCCCAACGTCTAGTCGAGAATAGACGTTAGGCACTAAGGGCACCGACGTCTTGATTCTTGTTAAATCAGAAATCGCAAACCCGCGGTTACGCACACTTCATCGTCTTTCTCCTTTTCTCTCCGCGGCATTGCATTTCCTGGTGTGTTTTATCTCTTTCGAACCATTTAAATTTACTTTTACTCTGATTAAATTAGTCTTTGATGGATTATGTTCCATTTGAACCGATTAAAATGAGTTTTCGTTGTGTTTTAGTGCAGTTTTTCTCGTGTCTTTAAGTAGCGTAGTAGCACCTTCTCCCTTTGCTAGTTTCCTCGTAAGAAAATTTTGCGTCTTTTGTATCTCTTATGGCATTTCAAAAGATGCAAGCTTTTCTTATGAGGAAACTAGCAAAGGAAGAAGGTGCTACTACGCTACCCAAAAGACACGAGCTACTGTAGACATCGGTTAATTCCATGTCAGTTAAAGGCATTAACCGACATCTATAGTGTCCTTAGACGTCGGTTAAAGGCATTAACCGACGTCTATAGTGCCCTTAGACGTCAGTTAAAGGTATTAACAGACGTCTATAGTGCCCTTAGACGTCGGTTTTTGAGTCTGACGTCCCATTAACGTCACCTTAAAGACGTCAGATCGGGATCTGACATTAAAAGCTCAAAGTAACATACGTCTAAAGCCCTTTCTGCACTAGTGTAATTTGATTCAGGTACGGCCCCGATCAGTAGTCAACCAACTCGGAATGAACAAAGAAGAAATGTCGCCTAACAGAGTTGCAGAAAAGATTTTGAGATCTTTGATAAATGATTTTGAAAGTATTGTGGTCACTCTTGAAGAAACAAAGAATTTAATAACTCTCATAATGGATGAATTGGTTAGGTCACTAAAAGTCCACGAACTAAAGAAAAAGAGAAAGAGAAAGAGAAAGAGAGAAAAAGAGAGATTTCTTCACCAAATAAAAGTAGGATTTGGACATCCCAAAAGAATCACTTGATCCAAAGGATTGTACTTTGAATATCCATTTAAGTATGTTAACACTATATATTTACAAAAAATGAAATATCACTCAATGTGGACTTCCATATTTAATTGTATTTCAATACTAACAAACCATTTGATCACACTTCTTTTATACTTAATTTTTAGAAATTATAAATTNTATTGCTCCTCTATTATTTTTGGTTTGTAGCTTCTCATCTATACTTTATCCTCCCTTGTCCTTGGCCCCATTACAACCATGAAAAGACCTTTAAATTTGAACATGCATATGTTTTGGGTGTTCATTTTAGAGACTTGCCAAGTCTGTTTGTTGCTTGCTTTCTTGAGTGTATTGAGTTGACATTGTTTACCTTAGACACTTGAGAGAAAAAGTAAGAGTGCATATGTGAGGTTTTGTTACTTTTGATTCACCTCTTGAGCTGATTGATTATTTTGTCATGTCTAGAATTGTTTGGATGATTACCATGAGTATATGATTTCTCTTATTCTTTGTATGTTGGATACTGTCTACTCCTTTTCTTTGTCTAGATTCCTTGAGGACTGTGTAAATCTCTTTGTTTTCTTGTGAGTCTTTTTTGTTTTTGTGTGTTGAGATTATGTCACTCCCTTGATATCCTTTGAACTGTTCCTTGATCTTCATCTTGATTTTATCAGGGAGTACAAAAGACTAAGTGTGGTTTATTTTGATGAGTCAATATTTTATCGACTTCACTTAGCTTATTGTACTAGATTTAATTAGGGAATTGTGCTTGAATGTCTATTATTCCCCCAATTTTGCTAATTGTGCTTAATTTGACTAGAAATTCTTATTTTAATTAATTTGAATTATTTGAGCCTAATTACTTTCATTATTAATTGCAGGGAAATTTTTGGAATATTATTTTGGGACATCAAGAGGGAGGCCATGTCATTTCCCACATCATTTTCGTTCATCCACATCAGCATTGTAGTTTAAATTAAAATGTAATTTCAATTTTAGGCTTTTTTTGGGCAGATTTAGGTTTTGGGCCATTTTGGCCATTTAGGATTAGGCGCATTTGACAATTCTGACCTAGTTTTGTGTGCAAAGGGGGCCAAACTCTAATAGCTCCCTCATTCCAGATTATTACGTTTTCTTCTTCTTAGAGAGCTCCAATGGAGGTTTTGCGGTTTTCCTCTTCTTTGTATTGAATTCGTATTTTAAATTCTCAATGCAATTCCATTTCTCTTTTGCTTCCATTGGCCATTTTCGTTTTCTATTTGAAGCTTGAAGTTCGTTTTC